AATACAATTATATATTTTTGTGTTCTTTGGCAGTTTCAAAACGTAAAAGGATGTTTAGTCTAGATTACAGAATGATATTCTTCAAATAGCAGTTCATACCTATTTGTTTTAGGCAGTAGTTTGCAATTGTTCTCCATAAAATTTGAGACTGAACCTCCACATTTTCAGTATCTCTACCAAAGCATTTTTAAAACGGACAGCAGGAGCACAATAGTTTAAAAACTATTCTGCTCCTGCTGTTGCTTTTTCTCAATTATCAGTACAATAGTGGTCTCAACTGTTCTGATATTGGCATGTATGTCTTGCTAAACTGGTCAATGATAGCTGGTTATGAGGAATTACCCAGGGGATTTTTAGCTCGGTAGAAAAAAAGAAATATTTTGAATGAACAATTAAACAGAGATATCAACAACATTCCAGAGTTCTATTATTTTTGCTAGCTTGGTTTAAACCTTTTTTAACTGCTTGACCAAAACTATCCTATCAATGATCACAAATACAAACTAATACATCATTTTGATGTATCGTCGAAATTGATCTCCCTTGTAAAAAGGTAGTATATTTATTCTAATGATCACCAATATGGCAACCGGCCTTAGCTTCTGGCTAGGTGGTTGCAAACCAAAAAGTTTCTATTGATAGAATTAGAGAGACTGAATCATAAAACTTACTATATACATTTAATATTATTTATGTTTACTTTGGGGGGGAGTTTGAGCAAGATTTTTTATACACTCGTTGAAGGTATAATTTGTCTGAAATCCCTATCCCCTATCAGATTGACTTAAAGGAAATTACTACCATAGTAAAACCTCCACTGATGACCACCTTTTTTCATAGCAGTGGTGGCCCAATTATTTTTTTGTTGATTTCTTTTCATGGTGTTGGTTGTCAACATGCTAGAAAAAGCATTTTATAGAGCTAAACATATTCCCCCAAAATAGTGTCACACAAGTCAGTGCATCTCCCCCGCCATGACTGGCCATGTCTCTACGATGGCCACCAATGCAAATTTAGCATACTATTGATAGTTGGTAAGTTTTCTAACTGAATATTAAAAGTAACCTTTTAACACGTGTGTGTAGCATTAGCAAAGTACTGGCTAAACAATTCTGTTTATTTCTTGTTAAATTTTGAATTTGTTTAAAATAAGACACTGGATAAAACTGCCCATTGCAATCCTCCACACTCTCTTAAAGGATTTCAGTCCAAAACAACATCCTATTGAAAACAGTTAAAATTATACATCCTGTTTAAAACTCGAAACCTTGAAAACCATACCTTAATTGTCAAGTGGCACCTACGCTTATGGGCCTAATAAGGAAGTCCCCTGCCCCAGGGCAAGGAACTCGCACGGTGAAGATTGCGTAAACTCAAGAAGGTAACTCTGCATGGATAGTACAATAAAGCTTGTGCAAGAAATTGCTACCAAAATGAAAAATTTCCCCTGCTTTCAAATAACTGTAAAACAAGACATCACATCTGTCTATTAAATAGGCAAGGATTTAAAAACAATGGAATGTTTTTTTTTTCAGCTTTGTGATATCATTATGGCGGCCACATATAGAAAACTCTTGGTATATCTCCTGTTGAAACCTCCCATAACTGTCAATGAAACTACAAAAATCTGTTCAAAACAGATTTTAAAGGCAAATAACACCGGTGATCGACTGTGCAGGTACGAATTATTTTGTAACAGTGGTAATGTTTATGAACCATTTACTAGAAATAGGTATCTCACAAACCAAAGTATACATACAAATAACATATATAATGAATGCAAATTTGTGGATAAGAATAAATTCAGATAGCCACAGATTTCAGTTAGATTATGATGAAGTTAAGTCAGGGTGATTTTCGAATGAATCGGTTTTGTTTTGGCTGGAATGTGCTTAAGTGACCTCATTAGTTTCTGGAAAACAGCTGCTCTAAAATAGGGGGAATTGGGGAATTTAGTCTAGTATAGGGTAGAAAATATTCACTTGAACTAGCTCTGGTATAGGCTAAGGGTTCTAGGGTCCCAGCGGCACATACATGCATGTACCCACCCAAAAATTCCTAAAGTACCCCCGGCCCTTGGAAAAAGTAAAATATACATACAAATAACATTATGCATATTTGTGGATAAAAATAATTCTTAAAATAACCACAGATTTAAGTTAGATCATGATGAAATGATAGTCAGGGTGATTTTTGACTGAATGGATTTAAAGGATTTAAAAACAATGGAATGCTTTTAGCCCACTTGCTGTGTTACATCATAAGGGTGGCCACATGAGAAAATGTGTGGCATAAACTTTGAAAAAACAGCATGTCATAACTGCATCTCCTGTTGAAACCTCGCAAAAAAAATTCCCACTACAAAATCAAAACAGATTTTGAAAGGAAATAACACTGCTGATTGATGGTGCAGGTATATCATTTTGAAACACTGGTGATGTTTATGAACTATGAGAAATTAAGGCATCTCACAAACCAAAGTAACATACTACATACAAATATCATTTATGCAAATTTGTGGATAAAAATAATTGTTGAGATACAAATGCATAACCACAGTGTGATTTTTGAATGAATGGGTAAGGATTTAAAAACAAGGGAATGCTTTTAGCCAGCTTGCTGTTATATAATATCATAAGGGCGGCCACATAAGAAAATGCGTGGCATAAACTCTGAAAACACAGCCTGGTCATAACTGCATCTTCTGTTGAAACCTCCCCAAAGAAATTCCCACTACAAAAATCTGATCAAAACAGGTTTTAAAAGCAAATAACACTGATGATTGATGGTGCAGGTACAAATCATTTTTTAACACTGATGATATTTATGAACTACAGCTGTATTCTAGAAAATAGTTATACAGGTAAATTCAGCCTTTTGTAAGGTACAAAAAATTTACTTGAACTAGCTCTGGTATAGGCTAAGGGTTCTAGGATCCCAGGGGCACATACATGTACCCACCCAAAAATTTCTAAAGTACCCCCCCGCGACAAAGTAAAATATACATGCAAATAACATTTTGCAAATTTGTAGATAAAAATAATTCCTGAGATAACAACAGATTTAAGTTAGATCATGATGAAACTACATTGTGATAGTTAGGGTGATTTTTGAATGAATGGGTAAGGATTTAAAAACAATGGAATGCTTTTAGCCAGCTTGCTGTTATATCATGAGGGCGGCCACATGAGGAAATGCGTGGCATAAACTTTGAAAACACAGCCTGGGCATAACTGCATCTTCTGTTGAAACCTCCCAAAAAAAAGAATTCGCACTACAAAAATCTGATCAAAACAGATTTTAAAAGCAAATAACACTGATGATTGATGGTGCAAGTACGAATCATTTTGTAACACCGATGATATTTATGAACTACAGCTGTATTCTAGAAAATAGGGATGTCACATACAAAAGTACATATTTCCCCTGGGGGGGGGGGGGGGGGGTACTGCAATATATGCTGTATAGGTACATGTATCTGCCACTGTGGAGGGTATGGTTTTCAAGCAGCTTACTCTAGGATAGGGTATATAAATCAGAGAGTTTGTGTCTAAGATTAAATTCGGGTATCATTTTCCAGGACACTGATCAATTGTTTAAAGATATTGGACTAGACAAGAGAGACCATCAATTTTCAATAATAATAATAATAATAAAAAAACGTTATGCAAATTTGTGGGTGAGAATAATAATTTAGATAACCACAGATTTAAGTTAGATCGATGATGAAAATACATTGTAATAGTCAGGGTGATTTTTGAATGAATGGGTAAGGATTTAAAAACATTGGAATGTTTTTTGTCAGCTGGCTGTTATATCATAAGGGCAGCCAGATAAGGAAATGCATGGCACAAACAGCCTGGTCATAACTGCATCTCCTGTTGAAACCTCCCAGAAAAAAATTCCCACTACCAAAATCTGATCAAAACAGATTTTAAATGCAAATAACACTGTTGATTGATGGTGCAGGTACGAACCATTTTGTAACACTGATGATATTTATGAACTACAGCTGTATTCTAAAAATAGGTATGTCACATACAAAAGTACTGCCATATATGCTATATAGGTACATGTATGAGCCACTGTGAAGGTTATGGTTTTCAAGCAGTTTACTCTGGGATAGGGTATATAAATCAGAGAGTTGGGTCCTAGAATGGGGTATCATTTCCAGGACACTGATCAATTCTTTAAAGATTTTAGTCTAGACATCAATTTTGAATTAAAAATAGCATTATGCAAATTTGTGGGTAAGAGTGATTATTGAGAAAACCACAGATTTAAGTTAGGGCCTGTTTACATGGAGGTGGGGGACCCCAGGTAGGTGAGGTAACCCGCTTAGGTGGGGTAACCCGCCTGTCCATATGATCTCTCATTTTCATTTGATCACGTTTACATGATAGGTGGGGTGACCCGCCAAGGCGGGTAGCCCGGTCTACCAGACCGGGTTACCCTCTCAGCCGGGGTCACAATTTGTCATGTAAACGTTTCAAGGTGGGGTAACCCGCCTGGCCGGGGTCGGATTCGTGATACATCAAATTCGCGCAAAATTCACTTTCGCGGTGTCTTTGCATTATGATTAAAGTTAACAATAGAAAGCTATTGCACTGACGGGTTGCAGCAAGAGCAACAAGTGAGTGAAAAAGTGCATTAATCGCCAAAACTCGTGGTTTGCCAGCATTTTTCTTGTTTACGTGCTTAGCGACCATTCAATAATCTTGAGAAAGTGCACCCCTGGAAGGCGGGGTTGTAAGATTGCATGTAAAGGCGGGTTATTTTTTTACCTCACCTAAGCGGGTTACCTCACCTACCTGGGGTCCCCCACCTCCATGTAAACAGGCCCTTAGAGCATGATGAAGTACTTAAAGGTGATTTTTGAATGAATTGGTAAGGATTTAAAAACAATGGAATGTTTTTTTGCCAGCTTGCTCATATGTTATAAGGGTGGCCACACAAGACAATGCGTAGCATAAACTTTGAAAAAACAGCATCTCCTGTTGAAACCTCCCATAAAACAAAAATGTACAAAAATCTGATCAAAAAAGATTTTAAAAGCAAATAGCAAATGTTTGAGTAGTTGGTTGTGGTTTTGACTGTAACAGGGTAATGCGAGGCTGAGACAATAGATATATAGTTGATAGCAATATAAATATTGGAAGTAGGAAAAAAACTACACTTTCATCCCGACAAGCCTGTTTCGTGATCTCTCACTCTTCAAGGGATTTTAATGATAAGAATATTCATAACCATCGACTATATACTTTGAGATTACATTGTTGGGAAAAATTTAGATTTAAATGTTTAATTGTTACATAGCAACGCTTTGTTTCTGTGGCGGAAAGAAGATACAAGTTCGTTACGTTTGTTAAGTGATGATAGATTGGGGCGACAGATAATTAAAAATTTCTCTTTGAGGGAAAGGTTACACCTTTTACTTGAACTGTTATACGATGAGCTAGATGAAATGATACGCCATGAAATAGAATAGTCAATGTTGTTGTCTTTCAGGGACCAGACGTGTTTACTTACATGTTACTTAGTTCCGTAGAGTTCCTGTGTTTTGTGTGACGGAATGATGCAGTGTGGTTTCTGTACCTAGTTTTGAAGGGGTTTTCTGTGAGTCCGATGTATGTTTCAAAAGTGTTATTGTCGTTACGTTTGACGATTGCTTGGTAGATAACTGATGATTGAAGGCAGTTTCCGTTAAGAGGGCATGAGTTTTTTTGTCGGCAGTTACATGATTTGTTGTCAACAGAGTTATCTGTGGATTTATCTGTGTGTTTGGATGCATTCAGGATACGCTTGTTGTGGTTGTCGAAAATTTGTTTAGTGTTATTCATGCAACTGTAACTGATCTTGATGGTATTGCGGTTGAAGATTTTTCTGAGTTTGTTCTCTTTAGGGAAGTGTTTGTCTACTAGGGTGAGGAATCTGTGACCGATGTTGGTGTTGACGTTTTTGCTGAATGGGGGGTTATACCAGAGGATGTTGTTGCGTTGTCTGTTTCTCCGTTTAGCAGTTGTAGTCGGTTCGTAGTGTAGAGTGTAGTGGTATCCGCTTTCGTCGAGTGCTTTTTGGTAAAGGGGGGGTGGCTTGGTCGAATGATGCTTTGTCCGATGAAAGGGATGATAGCCGTCTGTTGATGCCGGCGGGTATGTTCTTTGTGGTGATCGGTGGGTGGTTGCTCTCGCGATGGACGTACTGTAGCGTGGTGTTAGGCTTTGTGAAGGGCCGGTAGGTGCTGTTGTTAAGGTTAAAGGTGACGTCTAGGAAGTTAATGATCTGTTTATTGGCTTCAATTGTGATGCGTAGTCCATTTTGGTTAAATACACGGCATATTTCCTTCTTGATCTTTTCTGTGTCTCTCGGTGCGGCATTAGAAATGGCTAGACCGTCGTCTCTGTAGAGCCCTATGTTGACGTCAAGGTGTTGTAATTGTGAAAGCAGGAAACTTCCTACTAGCTCACATGTCTCAGCGCCATCGTAGCTGCCCATTGTAACGTCAAATGTTGTGTCGCCCTTCTTTTGCCATGCTTGTTGCTTGTGTATTAGGATTGAGTTCTTGGCATGTATGATGCTGTTTCGTTCGTCGTTTGTGATGCTGTCGTAGAAGGACGACACAACATTTGACGTTACAATGGGCAGCTACGATGGCGCTGAGACATGTGAGCTAGTAGCTAGGAAGTTTCCTGCTTTCACTTCCAAAGAGGTTTAAAACACGCAAAGGAAAGGTAAGTGATAGACTTGACTATCACAACTAAATGCTGCAGAGGAAATTCCACAACATTCCCAAATCGCCGTAACAAATTACCTGAGCGGGCATTGCCCTCAGCGGTTAAATCAGTCGTTTTAGTCCATCGGGTCTTCGTTTTAGTCCATGGGGTCTTCGTTTTAGTCCATGGGGTCTTCGTTTTAGTCCATAGGGTCTTCGTTTTAGTCCATAGGGTCTTCGTTTTAGTCCAAGGGGTCTTAGGTCTTATGTCTTCGTTTTTGGGTCTTCGTTTTAGTAACACCCGAAAAATCGAAACACAGACTTCCTAGTTGATAGCAATATATATTTCCCCTACTCATATTCCCCTCATCATAATGCTCTCATTCCCCTTGTCATATTTCCCTGCTGATATTCCCCTCATCGTGTTTAACCGTCCTAGTAAAACAACACAAGTCATAATTTTGAATTTTGATTTAATGAACTTACCAATTTTCCTTGTCAGTAGTTGTCACAGTGCAGTATTACCCTTACATGACATATTACCTTATTATGGGAAATTAACGCTCCATGAAATTAAGGTATTGGAAATTAACGCGACTTAAATTAACGCGAATTTAATGGAAAACGACTTTCGAATAAAGAAAATTAACGCGAAAGTGGAGGTAGAATCTCATAATAAAGGAAATTAACGCGATTAAGACACAGTTGGTGGTGACAATTGGAACAAATTTATTTCAACACTGGGTGCAAAAAAAATCAAAACTGAACAAAACTGAGCTGACATCACTTCTGACAGCGACAACGATGAAGATGAACTCGAAATATTGTAAACCTTCACCTTAGCTTTTGTGAAACATGGAAAATAAAGGGTAAATGGAAAGAAAGAAAGCTTGTAGTTAATGTTTTTTAGGTGTCAAGAATGGCTGGACAGGTTCCAAAATTGGGGTTAAAATACCGGAAATTAAGAGCGCGGAAATTAGCGCTGCACTTAATTAACGTCGCGGAAATTAACGCTCAACAAAATTAA